CCTGTGTGTTTGGGGCTGATGGCACTGGCCATGCACCCACACCATGGGTATGTCCACGAGCCTGGGGCTGTCCCAGCTGCCTGGTGGGCCAGCAGAGCAATGCCCAAACCCTGCTTTCTGAGGGACCAGGCCTCAAAAAGGGCTTCCCACCCCTTTCTGGCAGGCAGGACCGTTCCCAGCAGCCCGGTGCCCCTCAGTACAGCTGAGGCTCACGTTTTTAACTTTGCACATCAGACCATCGGGTGGTGACAGGGCTCTGGCTCTGTGCAGGCAGAGGCCCACCCCCAGCCCTCAGGCCACCACAAGCTGCAGGGCACTCCCGGTCAGGCTTGTCCTGGCTTTTCCTGTTGACCAGAGGAGGGGAAGGCTGCTCTTATCTAAAGGTCAGCGAGGAGACAGCACACAAACACTGCCGTCTCTGGCTTGTCACCGTGCACGTTGCGCAGATGCTGAAATCAGGCTGGCTGGGGGCTGCGGGACGGTTGTGGGGTTTGGGAAGGGTTATGTTTTGTTCCAGAGAAAGATGCGTTGGCTGTGGTAAACGCTGAAGATTTTAGGGACTTTTCCTCTGCTGGTTAGATGAAAGGGGGGAAAAGGAGGTCTGGAACTTGTAGCCCTGAATAACTTAATGGTCATGATCTGTACTTTGAAGCAAGATAATAAAAGACATCTTTTTATGCTATTCATTTCAGGAGCCTTTACTCTTCAGCCAGGATTTTTCTGCCTGCTGGGAACAGCCCGATGGAAAAAGTTTTAAAACTTTCAGAAATCCTGTCTGAGATTTTTACTTTGTTCTTTACCTCTGAGGTTTATGTAGCATTGGTGCAGCCTTATCCGTCAGACAGGACAATAAATATCAAGAACCTCCAGGTCACACAGGGACCAAGCTGCCAGCCCAGAGCTCAACTGATTTCTCGTAAATCCCAGATGCTGCCCCGGAACGATTTAAACACCAGAATGTTTTTAAAAGTTTTTGAGAACTTGTCTCTCAAGCTCTGCCTAACTCCTGAAGGTGCCAAAATTCAGTAAAAAATCCAAGAGCATGCCTTGGTGACAGGCTGCTCATCATTTCTGCTGCATGCTGCAACATCTGACATTTGATTCTGGGGGACATCTAGGGAGCCTGTAGATATGTAGGAAAGCTGAGTCCTAAAGAGGGGTTTGAAGTAGCATGCATGCCCAAGGGACACTGAAATGAGTCATGGGTCAGGAATTGCCTTTTAGGCACCAAAGAGCCTTGGAGAGAAGTGAGGGAGGGCAGGGGCACTTCTGCTTTCCCAGACACAGGCAGGTTTAGGTGTAAGGTGGACTTAGCTAAATTCATGTACCTAGGCACTCAGTGGAGGATTTGGGTTCTTCAAAACACCTGAGGTAAAATACTGAGTTGCCTGTGCAGTTCAGGTACCTCCATGGAAAGGCAGCAACTGTTTTCAGACCCCCAGATCTAAACACGAGTAAGACCGAAACCCCAGCATCAACTTGAACTCCTACACCTTTTCCTTAGTTTTGCCTTATTTTTCAATCATTTGGAGACTAAATGCAGATCACCTAAGCTCTCTACCAGATGTAGAGCTCTACTACTACTTCAATTATTAATGAAGGCAAGATACAGCTTTTCCAAAGAGCTTCTGAAAATCGATAGTACTTTTTTACAACGATATGTCTTTACAGTGGTAGGTCAATAAGGAAGAAAAACCCAAAGCCTTCAGGGACAAAACTGCCTTCTTACCTGAAGCACTGAATTTTATGTGACAAAGTTCAGTAAGATAAGTGAATGTATGAATAATTTGGAGGATGTGTCACCACCACGTCACCTGTTTCAAAGAGCTGTGATATATGTTCTTCAGGGCTATTAAACTGATTGATGGCAACAATGAATTATTTGGAGGTCTGAGATGTTTTTAAGAATTTTAGCATGAGAGAATTACTGATCTTAATTTCTTATAGGAGCTCTTACACTGTTATTTTTTGTTATTCTGCTTGAAAGCCAAAGCCATCTGGTGAATAGGAACAGCAAGGCATCCTTTAGGTAACCTGTTATTAAGCCCAACTATCAGTATTCAGACTTGTCATGTGAGAATAAGTAATGATTTCAGAAAAATATGCAAAACTCTCCTGTAAACTCTTATTAGTAATAAATCACTTTTTTCATTATTTCAGGAATGCTTTGTTTGATTAAAAAGTCAACATCTATATTAATCTGACTCCAGTTTGGGAATGCATATAAAACTCTTACAACATGTGCCTGCTTCCATTAACTTCAGTGAGAATGAAAGATATGCCCAGTTTTTTTCCTAATTTTGGATGCCTTCCCAAGGTGGAATGTATGTTTGTGAGCCATCACTTACCCTGGTTCCCCACCGATAGGTACAGGAAGGAAAGGCAAAGAGGTATTCCATATTCATGCTATTAAATTTAGGCACCTCCACTGGAGGGTGGAACATCTACTGGTGTTCCCTAAGAGGAGAATGATCTCCTGATGTTCCCCACACCATTAATTGGGGTGGGGAGCTGGCAGAGCAGGTTTCATAATGGCTCGATCTGCCTTCTTGTGCCAAAGAACCTCACTTCTCCAACTCTTCCCAGCGTATTCCTTTAAGCTTTGAGATTTTCTACAAGGCCGCAGCTGTTTGCTCGGGCTGTGTTTACCCAGTCCATCCCTGGCTCAGGGGAATCTCCGGCAATGCGTGACCTTGGAAAAAACCCTGCTGGACCTCCCCCATCCCGCCCTCGCTTCCCTCTACACCCCCGGACGGATGTTGTCTGCTCTGAGTGCCTTGTCGATATCAAGAGCTGGGAGATATTTTAGGATTTATCTTACAGACTTCCTATTTTCCTGCTTCTCTCTATATATGTAAGCTTTATCACCAGTTTAGGTAAAAGCCTGTCCTTCTCAGCTTTAAAGCCAGATAAACAATGGCCTAATAACCCTGTTATTCCACTATTTTAGTTTATATTACCCCCTATATCATCCCTGCAAGTAAAAGTCATTTCTCTATTAGTGACATCAATCATAAGCATTCAGATCTTTTTTATTAATCCTGCCATCCTAAGATACTTGGTTTTATTTTTGTCATTTTTATCCTTCTATGTTTTGTAACTTTTTTGAAACTGAAATGACATGGCATGAATTCACTTCTCCATTAATTGAAGGATAGTGTTGGAATTCAGTGCTTTGCAATTTTTTTTCCCATTTCCAGCAGAGGGGCCTCAATAGCCAGGAACAAATCACACAATAAATCCATCTTGTTTCAGCTGTCTTTAAAATGGGAAGAATGTTTGCCGATGCCTTATTGCTGCTCATTTCAAACATAACACCTTGTACAGCCTTGGGTGAAGGGCACTGAATAAAAATGTAGCTGGACCTAGGAAAAAAACAATGTGTAGAGGATAGATAGTGAGCTGGGTGATGAGAAGGACAATGGGATGTCTCAGGAGAAGGCCCAGGGAAAATGTCCATTAACACAGCTCATAGGCATGTGGCAGGTACACCTCATGTGTTCACAGGAGCTTGAGTGAGAGGAGCAAAAGTAAGGTAAATCAGAACTTCTGGAGTGGGCTTGTTTTTCCCTAAAATGATCAGGTCTTTCCTTGGTGATATTAATGTGGGATTTCCTTACTTTAACATGAAAAGCTACCATAGTAAAATTGATTACCATTCAACAAGTATCTACAAACACTTCTAGCCTCATAAAAGCAATATTTTATTTCCAAAGATTCATGTTGTTTTGTTTTTTTCCTTCGCTGGGCTTGGGACCAGGTTCCTGGAGATAAAATTCTCACAATGGGTGTGAAGCCACATCTGAGACAGGGATTATGTGTAGCAAGCCTTCCCACAGCAATACAGCAGGGCAGAAAGGGGGAAGATAAAGGATTCTATATCCAGGAGAAATCACATTTATCTCAAAGTGACAAGCAAGTGTGAGAACAACGCTCTTTATTTTATCTAACAGCAATCCTTTCTCATCTCCTTTGCAGAATACTTTCAGTGGCCAACTGGGCTGTGTCCTGGAAAACTGTATTAGCAGATTAATTAGTAATGGATTTTTAACAATAGTGTAGAAGATATGCATAGGAGAGAAAGATCAGGCAGTTGAATTGAATTATTATACTCGCATAGGTTTTTAGATTGACTACTTTATGCTTTTGATTAAATTATTATAATTTATGTGCTTTTCAAGTAGCAATCTTCTCTGAGAGATTATTTTCTTTTGACCCATCTCCATATAGAATTATTTCCATGGCAACAGTTTGAGCGATTTGAGAAAGAAACAAAATTATGAACTCCCATTACCATCGGGTTAAAAAACTAGTTGGATTTTAAAGCAAAAATACTGAATATTTTGGCCTTATGAAAGGTAAAGAATATCCTTTGAAAAAGTCACAGCTCTATAAGAAGGAAATTCAAACTTGATCTTTCATTATTTCTTTGTAGCAAAAATGTTGTTTTCAAAAAGGGGTTATAAACACACTATTAACATTAGACCTAATAAATCTAACGTCTCTCTCCACTTGAAAGTATCTTTGAAAGTAATGGGACATAAAAGCTCCATTACTTCTGAGTCAGCAGACTGATAAATCAATACGTAATAACTGCTATTTGGCATTTTCTCGTAATTTCCTCAGCGTTGGAATGTTTAGATAATGTTTTAAATGTAAGGCATAAATTAGAGAAATTAGATAAGCCAGGAGGGACAGATGACATTCACTTTAAGGTATGAGGGACTAGCTGAAGCAATCCTTGCAATGCTAGCAATTATCTTGGAGTGTGCAACAATGGCAGAAGAGGAGATCCCAGCAGGCTGGAAAAGAGCAAACAAGGAGGAAAGGGGGAAGGACATGGACCGAGAGAATTACAGACCAGCCAGGCTTGCTGTGGCACCCAGAAAGATTCTGTCATGACTTACTCATAAACACCTGAAGAATAAACAAAAATATATCCAAAGTAGATTTTTCCAAAACAAATCATGTGAACTCAATGTGACTCCTTTCTTTAACAGGATAACTGGCCCAATGAGCAGAAAAGGAGTAGCTGGTGTGCTGCATTGTGACTTCAGAAACGCTTTTGCTGGATGACGCACTTGGACACTAAGAAAGAGGGAAAGATTAAATCACGGTGAGGTGAGTGCTGAACTGCTTGAGAAATGGCACCCAAAGGCAAGCTGTCAATAGTTCTCTCTAATTAATTTTTCTTTACAAAGTTTGCAGAGATTTTAGTCAATATTTTTATCACTGCCAATTCAGACAATGGCGTAGAGGACACACTTCCATTTGTGGAAGTCCCAGGAGGGAAGTTTGCAAGCCTGCTTGAGGGCTGCAGCAGGACTCAGAGCAATCTGTAAGTCAGGGGAAAAGTACAGCCAATTAAACTCAGTAACACACTAATATGGGACCAAATGTGCAAATAGAAAGCTGGCAGCAAAGCAGCAACCACCTGTCCCCCCCCAGAAAACAGACTGCACCCCGCAAACATGAGATGACATTAGATAGAAGATAAAATGGGTTGCATCAGTGGGAAGCCACTGGTTGGTGAGGATTGGGCTCGTGTGCTAAATCCAATGTAAGAAAGGCTGGCTACTGTCCAGAAAGGGCAACCATGACATAGGCTGAAGGAATTTGAGTCGGGGGAATGTTAAACAGGTTGCCCTGGAGAGGAGAGGATAGAGCCGAGAGAAGCTGGCAGCAGGCTCTCTGAACGTGACAGGGAGGACAGCAAGCAGTTTTTTCTGTCCGTCTGGTGGCACCAGGCAAAACATACTTGATTGAAGTTGCCGCAAAACAACATTTGGATGAGACATTAGGAAAATCTTTCTAACAGTAAAGCAGCAGAGCAGCAGGAGGAGCTGCCTGGGAAGTTCCTGAACCTCTTCTACAGGAGAACTTCAACAGCAGGTTGGACAAGCCTTCACCAGGGACAGTCTAGATGTGCAAGTTCCTGCCCAGAAACTGGCTGAGCAGAGGTAAGGACTGCTAGAGCCAGCTGTGTTGGATTGTGCATGCATGGAGAGTCACCTACCTGCTGAGTGTGGGAAGGTGCAACTGGATGATTCAGTCCTCTCCTGTCTGAAAGTTTTCTTCATACTCAGTGGAGGCTTTCTTCTCCATCACTCAGAGGTCAGCAGAAAAGATCTGGAATCAGGAGAGGTGCCAGGATCATGTTTTAACCCCACAAGACCACAGGCTTGCCCTGGTGAAGTCCTCTTGATGCAAACTCCCTGGACGAAAAGAATCCGTGCCTCTCACACCTCTTCAGAGCTCAGCTCCTAAACTCGCAGGACACCTTATCACCAGGGCATAGGCAAGACCTCAGAAACTTAGAGTTATAACTACTACGTTTTAGGAGCTATCATTACCTACCTGCTTTCTTTGGGTATGTATTTCTGTACTTACATGCTTTGCTGAACAAGGCCCAGAGGGAGAAGATAAGCGCCAGGAGCAGTCAAATTTGCCTGAAGGCTTCTCAAGGCACTTGCAGGATTTATCTGGAGTTTCATTAGCAAAAAACTCTGTCACTTAGGCAGGCTCTGGGTGCCTAATCTGATCCCAGCAATAAAGTACAGATTCAGCTATCAAGAACAGATTCACGATGCTGTAATTGCTCATTATTATGCGTTATAAGCACACCGTGCCCCTTGGGCAGAGCGACTGCTGGGGCGAGCAGCTCTCCTGCTGTAAGGTAATCAAAGCTTATGCAAAAGGGTCTGCTGAGAAGACTCAGGCTGTGTAATCCCTGCCGGTAAGCGACTGAAAACAGAACTTCCTGCCGAGCCCATTTAATCCAGCCAGATGAAATTCATTTTGGATGGTTTCCGTTTCTCAAATCGCAGTGGACAGGGGAAGAAGCATCTTATCAGGTTAGAGAGAGAATAACTCTCTTGTACAATTCTTAGAAACAGACATTGCTGTGCTTCACAAAAGATCTCTTCTTCTTCTTCTAAGATGTTTCTTCCTTTTTTGTAAATTTTTGGGCCTGCCTAGGAACTCTTTTCAAATTCTAATCCTTTAATCTCAGTGTGATAAAGTTCCTCTTAAAAGTTAGTGTTAGAAGAGCTCTTAAAAGTTGCTTGGAATGCACGCAGCCTTTCATAAAAAATCCAACTCATGTTTATGTCTTCTTCGGACTAATTTAAATCATGTTGCCTGCTACAAGGGGGCCAGAGCCAGGATGGCTGCAAGTGAACCAGGGAACTGCTCTAACCGCTGCTAAACTTCCCTATTTTGTGGTAACAGCATGCTGAGGATTACATACTTTGGGGGGAAAAAATTTGGCTGTGTGGGAGAAATGTGAACTGGATTGTTTTTAATGTCAAAGGCTTGTGTTCATACAGTGTTTTGCATTTTTCAAGGTCCAGAAAAAAACATATATAGGTTAATTGGCATCTCCAGCAGGATGCAATTCTGGTTTAATTCTGCTCCTACCAAAGTAGGGTACTGGCTGAGCTTGACCAAAGCTTAATGAAAATACTAAAGTAAGCTGTGGGGAGGTTGGGCTGCTGCCTGCTCTGGGTCAGTGAATGCTGCCCCTTCCCACATGGAGGCATTAGGGACAGCCCATGGTGTCAGCAGCTCAGGGACAGCACACCTCCCAAATGGGGCTGTTCAGAAACATGCCCTTACCAAGATTTTTGCCTAGCTAAGGAGGGTAAATATTATAAAAAAGGCTGCTGGAAGCAGTGATGTGTATCACATAGACTGGGATATTTGCTGGTGGGGGTCTCGGCACTGCTCAAAGACCATGGGAATCAGTGGGGTTTGGTGCCAGGACCTGGCATGTCCCCCCTGGTGTTGGGAGCTTGCCACCCTGGCCTAGAGCTTGAGGTAGCTCATCTCACTGAAAGCCCTTTACTTGGAAGTTTTCTTATGTGAATTTACCTCCAGAAGTCAATAGTGATGGGTCCTGCCATGCACAGGGTTCCTGCTGGCTCTGTGAGAGATCTAGAGCACCGCAACAAAAAGCCCTGAAAGCCTTTCTATGCCAGCACAGCCCTGCATCTGTGCTCCTCCACTGCTGGAGAAGAGCACTGTCATGTGCTAAAGTCTTCTGGGAACAACAAAAAATTGCTACTGAGCATTTGAGAAGCATATCTTTTTTTTTTTTTTTTTTTTTTTCTCTCCCCCATTTTCATTCAATAAAAAAGCCTTGCTTCAGACCAGGCTCGTCCTTTGTACCTCAGCAATGACTTTAAAGTCAGTGAATTTATTTCTATGGAATGAGGTCCTGGACCTATTCTTGATAGCCTGTTCTTCCTTCCCCAGTCAAAAGACCAAGATTCCCCCAGGCCCACAGCCATGCAAGTCAGAGAGCTCCTGCCTCTCTCTTCCCCTCCACGCTCTAAAGGCCAGCTGGCTGCCGAGGTTTTGTCTCTGTGAGGATGGGGAACTCTCCAGCATCAATCTCCTAACAATCTAGTAAACAACACCAGATTCTCATGTTTCATTTTCACCGGGAAGATGAGTTTTTGTGCTGCGGTAGATGAAGATGGAAGGTGGAGTGAGACCACAGCCAGGTCACCAACGTGGAAGCGCTTTTACCCACCTTCCCTTTGTTTGCTGTACTTAGGAACAGTAATAGGTGAAGTCAGACTGCTTTCAGAGAAGCTAGGGCACCAGTTCAACAAGAACAAAGTATTTAATTAAAAAGTGCTAAGTAAGGCAAAGAAAAAAAAACTAACTTACTCCAAAACCAGCTTAGAGGTGAAGGGTAACAAACTGTTATCCATGCCAAAGGCAAACCAGAACTAACTGGAGCCTACAAAGACACGGGCTCAGTCTCCAGCAGCAAGGAGCATTGTTCTGCAGCTCTCCAGCAGGGACCGTGATACTGCTTTGGGACCCGATCCAGTCCCTGCACCAGCCCCCATTTTGGGGTTGAGTGTGGATTTCTGTTCACTGGGTTTCGGGAGGGTGCTTGGAGTTTGGAGGAGTTTTCCACCAATAGTCCTGGGTAAATTCATCCCTTCCACACCATTTCTGGCAAACGAGAGGTTGGGTTTCATGTGGTCTTGTAGTAGCTAAAGGGCCACGTGGGAAAGTGGCAGGCATCCATGTGCCTTTGTGTCACTTGCGCTGCATCTGGATTTAAGCAGGAGCCTTTCAAAGCCAGGGTTTAAATGCAGTATTTAAGGCTGCTTTGTCCAAGAACAGTAAATGTCAAGAACTGCCGGTTAGTTACTGCAGTTGGACTTGGCTGGCAGGTTTTCTTTGTAGAGCTCAGATTTACTCACCCCTCTGTCCTGAGATGTGAGATCGTGGCCAATATTTGTGTGCCCCCTGGGGCTGTGAAAGGCAACACCACTCTGTGTGACAAGGTGGCAGCTGGCTCTTTGTGGATCCTGGTGGTGGGGTTTTGGTTCTTGGTTTAGCTGCTGTGTTATATGAAATTGCCTGAAGCACAGCCCAGCGCAGTAATTAATTAGGCAGGCAAGGTTGTATGCTCTTGGGACACATTTTGTTCCCATCCAAAACCGAAGATGTACTGCAAACTGCCTTACCAAGAGACTTCCCTGCTGTTGGTCACCCTGTCTTCATCCCCAAAAAACATACCAAAGTGCACCAAGCTTTGCCAAGCCAGATGTTGTCTTATCCATTTCTCTCCAAACCTGGGGAGTCAGGAAGGCCTCCATCATTCACAACCCTGAGCCTTGAGCCTTGCCTACCAGCCTTGTAGCTCCTGTGGGGTGAAAGGAGGTTTATCCCCCAATTATCTATTAAAAAAGAACAATGTTACAGAGGAAAATCCTTCGACAGAACATAAGCACATTTACATGTAGTTTGTGCTGTGCATGCCCAGATAGCAGCTCCTGAGGCTTTGGATGCAAGAGGGCATCATGACCTGTAAGTAGTGTGGGTATAACATGGCACCTGAAAAAACAGTCCAGTGCCCAAATTTCATTATTCTATGAATTTAGGCTCCAAACCTAGCGTACACTGCACTTTAGCTGCCTTGACAGTGTTTTGCTTATCCCACTTCTGAGAGTTCCCACCTTCCCCAAATGGAAATTATATTCCCAGGTATTAACACACCTGTCGATATGCTTTCCTTTAGTGTAAATTATCTGTGAAATGGTGTTAATTAACTGATGCAGAGTAACTTTGGCTGCTTGCTTACCTCTCATCAGAAGACAAGCCTGCAACTGCAAGGATAATAGTGGTTTGTTCATTGCGTGTTGGCACTTCTAAAAATGGTTGGCAGTGTTTGTTCAGAAATTGGGAAGGGATCTAATGATCCAGAACTAATCTAATTTGCACAGATATTTTACTTTAAATGCTACCTTGAACAAAATTTAAATTCTGCAGAAATGCTTAGGAAGGTAGAGAAGATGAGATTGAGATAATGGAGACAAACAGAAAATCATATTTTTCTTAAGGAAGCTGAATTGCCCTCTGGAGGTTCCTGTCTCTTGTGGGTTACACAGAGAGCCTGGCAGTGTTCAGGTGACAAACTAGGGTGGTGTTCTTGCTTTTAGCACCCAGCGTGTGTCAGGGCTACTTCTCTCTGAATATTTAAATGCAAAATGCTTCTCTCTCTCTTGAACCCAGAGAGTCTGATGGTGACATGCTGAGTGCAGGACTGAGCCCAGATGAGAGACCTGGACATCGTCCAGTGCAGGGCCACCCCCAACATTTATGAAGGGACTGGAGCACCTCCTCTGTGATGAGGGGCTGAGAGAGCTGGCACTGTTCATCCTGGAGAAGAGGAGATTGAGAGCATCTCACCAATGTCTAACAGTACCTGAAGGGAGGGTGCAAAGACAGAGCCAGGCTTTGCTCAGTGGTGTCCAGTGCCAGGACAAGAGGAAATGGGCACAAACTGGAGCACAGGAGGCTCCCTCTGAACACCAGGCAGCACTTCTGTGCTGTGCGACTGACCGAGCACTGGCACAAGCTGCCCAGAGGCTGTGGGGTCTCCTCCTTGGAGGAGGGAATGTGTCCCCTCCAGGAAGGACCTCATGGTCATCTCACGTGCGGGGGTAAAATAAGATTAACAGATAAGAACGTGTGAGATCAGCAGAGCCACCCGCCCCAGATAGGGATGCACATGGCTGAAGCAGTGCTTCCAGGTGTCCTGGTCAGGATTTTCCCCATTTAGACAGCACCAGATGTCACCTCTAGCTCATGGCTGAGTCTGGGCCTGGTCTCTGTGGGCATAATTTTAAGGCCAGAGAGGGGTAGAGAGTGCATTTAAACTACATGGTAGACTCTGCTGAGAAACAACTAGATTTAAGCCATTTCTCTCGGTATTTCAGAAAAGTAAATTTTTGTGCTTTTTCCTTTTCTCGATTTAGATGGCTGGAGGGTGCTACAGAGCAGTGCATCGGTGTCGCTGCAGCTCACCAGCCCCAGCCTGCCCAGCAGCCTCATCTACTGAGCTTCTTGCACTGGCATGGGTGCAAGAAATATCATTCACCTCTGTGGTGCAGAAAACAAAGGAGATCTCAACAGGGCAGGAGCCAAATTGCCTGAAAAACAGTCGTTCCCTGTTCAAACATGCAGACTGCATCTATGCAAGGAGTCAAGCCAGCCAAGTATAAAGTCTTGAGAAAGGGAAAGGATCTGCATTAATCTTCATCTGTTAGTGAGAGAGCCTGCTTTCTTCCAAGCCAAAATTCAGCATTAATCAAATTGCTTACCTTCCTCCAGAGAAAACAAGTACACTGACAAACTGCACAGGATTTGAATGCGAGTTGGCAGGCAGAACCTTGCACCATGCATGAAGAGGCCTGTGGTAACAGGCAGCTTCTCCATCTGGAACGAGGGCACAGGTAGCACAAGTGGAGGGGAGCCAAAACGGCCAAAACAGAGAGGAAACGACAGCTCCTGTTGTGTCCTCAGTCCTCTTTCACCTCACGGAAATGCTCTGTAGGGAGCTGGTCATCTGTTTCAACACCCCTGCTCGAGCAGGGACACCTTGAGCTGCTTGCTCAGGGCCATCTCCAGGCACCTTTTGAAGGTCTCCAAGGAGGGAGACTCCACAACCACCCGTGGGCCCTGTGCCCCATCACCCCCACAGTAAAGAAGTGCTTACAGATGTCCAGATGGAGCTGATCTCCACCCTCTGAGCTTTTCCACTCAGCCAGTTTTCAGTCCACCTCACTGACTCCCCATCCAGCCCATATGTCAACAGCTGGTCTGCAAAGATCTTATGGGAGACAGTGTCAAAGGCCTTACCAAAGTCCAGGTAGACAATGTCTATGGCTCTCCCCTCATCCATCAGGGTTGGCCATCATAGAAGGATGGTCAAGCGTGACTTCCCCTTGATGAATCCATGTTGACCTCACCTGATGATTTTCCCATCCCCTGATTTTCCTGTCCTTCATTTGCCTGGAAGTAGTTTCCAGGATTAGCTGCTCCAACACCTTCCCAGGGATCAAGGTGAGACTGACCACTCTGTAGTTCCCCATGTCCTTCCTGAAGACAGAAGTGACATTTGCTCTCCTCCAGTCTTAGGGCACTTACTCCTCCTACTTTATGGGAAAATATGCCAGCCCTTGAAAAGATCTGGTAAAACAGTATCATGACTGAAGATACTCCATGTGAGAGAGGGTTTTTCTGGCCTGACCTTGCTGGCACAGATCATGCTTCAATATTTGCAAATACTTCATAGATAAAGGGTGCCTCAGGAACTGGGAAGAGGATTATTTTGACTCCAGCATTCTGTGTTTCAGCTCCTTCCACGCGTTCACAACTAACATCTGGCATGCCTCTGCTCAGGCGATCTCGTGGGCTATAAAATTTTGTGAGTGCAAAGACAGGGAAAAAGACATTGAAGTCCTGATGGGTGTCTCTTCCTAATGAGTCTCTTCTGGCGTGACACTGAGCTCGCAGCCGTCTCGATGGCTGGTCTGTGCACGAGGGCTCCGGCTCTGCAGTGAACTGTGTCAACCATTCCCCACTTGGCAGAGGAAATGCCTTGATACACATCTACACAGCAAATGAAGTAAGAACAACAAAGAAAAAAAGATAATTAGGGAAAGATATCCAATAGCAATGCAAATTAGCCCCCCTGTACAAAGACATTTATAGATCCAGGGATTTTGTGTACTTATTACTTCTACTAAATGTGACATATTGAAAGCTTCCCTTTGCCAAAAATGCTCTTTCACTCTTCCTCTTTGACCTCGCTTAGTTAGTCCATGAACAAAAGGCCAGATTACAGGAGAGATAAATACAATTTATGAAACACTTGGGACTGTTGCAAAGAAAAAAATAAAATGCTGCGTATAAAATCTTTGTGAAACATGCAATATTTTAACATGTTTTATTTTGCTGGAAGCTTTGAACAATTAATTGCCAGTAACATTCAAAAGTTCAGTGTTTCTCTCTATCAATTATCCCTTCTCCTGCGAGGAGCTTAACCACTCCTTCCATACCATCCTCGCTAGTACTCCTGTTTCCTCTCTGCATCAAAGCTTGCAGTACCTGCTGCCTGATCTAGGTGAAAGGAAGCACTAAATGTACTTTTTCTACAGGTTACAGACCAAAAAATAAGGGTTTTCTTGAAACAGGATGGGGTGATTGTCTGACGTGGAAGGTCTCTGGTGGGCCACCATGCAGCCGATGCAGTTCTGTCACCTACAACCATACCCAGGTGAAGCCCATGGGCAGTACAGCCCTTCAGCAGGAGCTGATTTCTCACTGACTTCAAAAGCCAATGAAAGTGACTTTCCTCCATCTGTGGATATGGTCTCATCTCCTAAAACTGCCATTTGCTACTGCAGGGCCCCATGGATTTCATGAGGGACACCCCATTCCTACACCACCAATGTGTGAACCTAAGGAACTCCCCATCCCTCACTGAGGAGGCAATGTGACCTCCAAATAATGTGTGGCTGTCTCACGTCCCATCCCACAAGCCAACCAGCTCTTTCCAGCTCAAAATGTTGGAGACCAGCAGGCAGGATTTGATGATAAAGCTGAGGCCATGAGACCCTGGTGAGCACTGAGCAGGGTAAGGTCCAGCACATGGTGTGGCTTCGCAGGACATGCGGCATGACTGGGTCTGACATTTCTGGATGCAAGTGGAGACAACATCCTAAAACAGGCAAGGGCAATGCAATGTGCACAGAGTACATCCCAAGGAACAGAGGCATATTCTGCCAGAAGGCCAGACGAATTTTCTCCCATGCGCAGCGGGCGCTGTGATGACTTCATTGCCATTTCTGCCTGCAGGAGATATGAGGCAACTCGGCGGAGCTGTATCCTCTCTCACTGCAAGCTAAATGATGTCAAGCCTAACCCCTGCTGCCAGAGGCTCACATCACACTTGGGCACTCGCTGCTGCTGAGGTGCTGTGTGATAACTTGCCAATCTGCACTCACGTGTTGGAGCTTCTACATGGGTACATTGGGAGCAGCTCCATAAAAGTCAGTTCCTGCAGTACGAAGCATCAGCACTGAGCCCTCTGCACATTTGTCAGCGAGGCAGGCCCTGCCGGTCACATGCTGCTCAAAACTGGACAGAAAAAAAAAAAAACAAAACACACTCAAGCCCGGTTGGCACTCACTGAAGTAAATGATTCAAGCTGAGATTTATGGGAAATGGGCTGTGTAATGAGAAGCAGATCCTTCCCTCGGAGCTCACGTGCCACTAAACGGTTTTACCATCTTCCACACGTCCTTGCCAGTCATCTTTTTTCACTGTCAGCACATTTATTTTTTATTAACATCCTTTTAGGAAGTCATGTGTAGCTGGACTTTTTTTTTTTTTATTATTTAGAAAACATCTTCCTTGGGACTGAGTCAATGTAAAAAGTTTGTGCAGCATAACAAGAAAAAAAGACATTTATAAGAACTGCTGTACACTCACCACATGTTGCAACTTCCAGCAAACGCCCCAATAAAACTGCTGCCCCAGAGCCTGGGTCAGAGCCTTGGGCAGCAATGTCATGGTCAAGGCTACCACACAAGCCCGAAGAGATGGGCACCAGAAGGACTTTGGCTACTCTGCTGATGTGGTTGTTGGTTCCTGGCATGCGTCTGGCCCTGATCCCATGGGGTCCCCTTGTCTGTGAGCCAACCCACACCACAGATCCCTCCTGCAATGGCAGGGACCTCCTGTGCCAGCTGGTCTCAGGGCTGGGTGTCCTACAGTGGTTCATCTATGAGTAAGGTTGTAAGATGCTTCTTAATAAACTCCTGTTTATTAAGAAGTGTAGGAACTCTTGTGCCTACCTCATGATCTAAAATGACGTCTACTCCCCAAACAGGGTCCAAGGCAGACTCAGAAGCTGCCTGTTACCAGGTATGGGCTGCTCCCACCAATATTAATAGACTACCATTAGGTCATTTCCAACCCATCTCCTCTTGTTCTTTTCCTCCACAAGAATGTTGAAACCTTCTCATCATCCTGGGTTTCAACACGTCTCATTGGGTAATGCTGGTTTTAAATGCCAAGACCTGTCCATGAGCACGAGTGGGCATGATCCAGGCCGGCAGAGAAACGCTAGGAGTAGCATACCCATGGAAAGAAGAGGTTAGGCTGCACTGCTGGAGGCTGAAAGGGAGCCTGGAGCAATCTGCATGCCAGGAGGCACCTTCTTACCCCAGTCATGAGCCTTACAAGGCTGTCAGACCTTCCTGGATAGAGGCTGAGATGTTAAACTTTCTTTTCTGTTGCCCCATCAATCATTAGCCAATGCCTCTCTTTTGTGGAAATGAATTCCTTCACGGGACCAGGCAGCATTATAAGCTAACAGTCACTGTGGCCCTTGAGCAGGATGCTTGCTAGATCCATGTGACTTTCCCACCAGATTAGAGCAGTTCTGAAGTTAGTGCAATGAAGAGCTTAAAACCTGGCACATCACTGATAACGGATGTTCCCCAAGTGAATGCAAATCTGTCACTCACTTTGCAGCCCCCCGGGGTCATGGACCACAGATAATGCACAGGAGACAGCAGTGGAGGGGGAGGCAGCCCGTGTGGATGAGCCCATTAGTCACTGCTGTTCACAGGGTTATTTTTAACCTCCTGTCTTCTCTAGGGGAACTCATTCACACAGCTTTTCTGAAAGGAAAAGATGGGCTTGATATCGTCCTCCTTTCCCACCATGCTAGAACAAAGTGCCAGGAGGAGAGGTGCCCAGCCCTTTGCAAAGGGATGTTAAGGCCAGGAAAGCTCAATTTCCAGAAACCAGGAGTGCAAACCTCTGCCTCACCTCCACATTGCCAGCGGATGCATAGCCGAGCACAGCTGCATGGACCTCAGCAGCTGATCTACCACTGAGAATCCATCCAGAGCTTCAACAGCTGAATCCAGAGGCATTCAAGATTGATGGACCAAAGTCATAGAGCTTCAGAAGCCACCCTGAAAAAGCTCTTGAGGTGTCCTGGCTTGATTAGCTCGTAATGAATTCAAAATCTGGCCCAGCTCATTTCAGGACATGCATGCGCTCAGACCTATGAGGGTGATGATGAGAG